GTATACTCTTGGAAGTCAAGCTTCCTCTGTGCAAGGTGCCGTGTGACCCGTCACAGGAGCAGACTCTCGGTGCAAGTATTCTCAAAAGAGCAGGCAAAGAGTAGGGTGGAACACTGGGCGCTAAAATTGCTCGGGTAGCGTCTTTGCTTGCGCAGTGTCAGAAAAATACAAAATATTTGTGAATATCTAATGTAGCCCATATGCAGATGGACGGAGTTGTAACGAGACAAGTACTGTATTCTTGTGCTTTGCGTATAAGAAATTTGCATGCACTTGGAACTGTTTTGAAAGAACTTCAACAGATAAGAGGTCTGGGATACACCTGGGCTGCTGGCCACATCGGAACTACAGAAAGATCTCATTTGAAATGTAGAAAGACGTGTACATTTTGTGTTCGTCCGAATAGAACTTATTCTTGATAAACGTACTATAGTAAATCTTGAAATAGCAGAGCGATTGCAGTGGTAGTTGATAAAGGCTTTCATTTCTACTCCTACTAGAAGAGCACAATCCCTACCTCGGTACATCTGTTGATGCGGCATTTGAAAGTCGAAACTCCCTCTGTGCAAGGTGCAGGGCAACCCCATCCCTAGTTTCTACCATCAGGCTTAATTTTGTAATGGTTAATAGGTCATTTATGGGGAGATATAGTTGCAACTCGTCGTGAACACACATTCCTACGGCTAAAAAAGACCAAACAGTAAACACTTCTTATGAAGACTTCAACAACATATCACAGCGTGCATGGCTCATGATCTTTCGGAATATAAGTAAGATTTTGTTAAATAAAGATTAAACGATTGCAGCATTAAATGAAAATGTTTATTAAAACAAACTCAAGCCAAAGTAAACCTTGCTCACTATACGCACCAGTAATTCACCGGCGTTATTATGACGTTAAGCGCAAGTATTTGGAGGTGAAGGGGTGTAACAATTGGTGTCTGATACCCTGCATAAATGTGCATTAGCATCAAAGCAAGCTGACCAAATAGTGGAATGTACTAATACGAAATACGGAATGAACCCTCGCCCACGCATCCGTTACATAGAGTATGCGCTCATTTTATTTCACCCAAAATTACTTAAAATGCCTATTCGACGCTAGAAATTTTAACGAAAAGATCATGTTTCGCGACTTATGATACCCCCAAAGAAGCGCCTTGCCCCCCCAGTTAACAAAAGCTAAACCCTTTTCAGCTTGCATTTTGCATTGCATCGCTTTCAGCATTCCTTTGGAGCAGCTGCGGTCAAAATGAGAGTTGATCATTGAGAGCCTAAAGTTACAGCAAACTGTATGCTGCGAATAAGGTGATTCCAAGTCAGCAATAATTATTCTTGATTTTACACAGTGCAGACGACGAATTATGCAACCGGTCAAAAAAAAACCTGATGTTTTCAATTATACACAGGCGAAGTGAAGCATTCAAAAGTCTGAACATGAGTTTAATAATTTTTGCAGAAAACATTAATTTATGAAAAACAGTACCAACCATACTTTGAATAGATCGAGTTGGAACACTGAGTGACGGGATTTGGGGCTGAATATACACATACTACCTGCGGCTAGTATTAACTTTGAGTGAAGCACCTCATTTTCAAAGTGTTTGGTTACAAAACACAACATGTTTTTAATCTTTGAAAAGGGAGCATCAGGCTCCGACTTGATTACAGCGCTCCATAAGAGCATTTGCCATTATGCCGGTGCTACCGTCCAGTTCTGTCCAATGGATTTATGTATCCGTACTATGAACTGGTTTATCCAAAAGGTACCAAGTGATTTGAGGAGGAGTGAGATGTATGAGTCATTCCAACGTAAGCGATTTGCAGTGCCTACCATGCAGAAAAATTCTAGGCGTTGCGCAAGGTAATAGAAATTACTTCTGCTTTTAATTGACTGTAGCATAACATCATCAAATACTACTTGATTACTTGTGGTCATTATACTGTTTTTCTTCATTAGATTGGCTATTAATTAATTAGCCTATCATCATTTGAAGCTTGGAAATTGTGACATTCATTTGTACCAAATATTCAAAAAATAAATACTCAAGATTACAGCTCAAAAACAAATCCAAGGCAGAGTTTGTACTGAGGCGCCATTTGAGATGCTACTGTATTCATCTAAACGACTAAATCCATGACACTTGACATCAAAGTAAAGCGGTTTTATTAAAGTCAATGCGATCACTTCTGAAGCTAAAATTGAACGCTTAATTAAGTTTGTTCGTGAAATTGGCTTCATTGAAGTCGCTTGGGATCATCTCGAATGTTGGCATCTCGTCCATACACGACTTATCCAATTTGTCTAAGACACCACCCATGAAGATGTACGATGCAATTATTTTCAATCCACATGTGTCCGCCGATTGAAATCTCAGTTGAGGGTGTGTACTAAAGAGTGTTGCACCACTACCAGTTTCAAAGGTGATCAGCTCCTTATTTGTGCCAGTGAGGGATTCGAATAGGCGTTTGGTGTACTTGTATGGTGCTGATATATCCATTTTGCTGCTCAGCACTAGAACGCTGGCCTGACTAGGAATTGTGATACTCGCATTCCAGTATCGGTCGCGCTTATAAATGATTTCACGAGCTTCATACTTGCCAAAATTGTACTTATCGCACACCTTCGATTGCTCTTTTGAAAATGCACAATATGCAGGAACACCAGTATATATGCCCCCACCCGCTACAGAGTCCGTAAAGCGCTTTCTCAATTCTGCCATCGAAGGTGTCGGTCTTTCCCACAACTCCGAGAACACGATGAGGTTGTACAACATCTCGAAGCTCTTGTCACTAGGGTCCGATGTAAAATAACCAGTATCTATTATACCGTTTATGAATCTTGTCAAGACGTCCACATCATGGGGTTGACAGCGCTTGAGGCGGTACACAAATTGAGGAATCGTCATGTACATAATTGGGGTTGTCAGCAGAGATGAAATAAGTCTTCGCAGTTTGTGCGAGGCTGGCCACTTTCGATTCGTAACATTCATGGTGTTTATTATCTCAAAACACGCTGAGTCAGGTTCGCTGTCGAGAGCAATCAAGATATCTTGATATGCAGCAACTAACGTGTTCGGAGCTTTAAAATGGGAGCTGCAGACACGGTCGTGATCGCAACGCTCCATCAAAGTTCTTGCCACTTCGTCAACGTTACGGTCGATTTCTGTAGCGTAATTGTATGCTCCCGTGGTACTCATTGGTGAATCCAGAATGTATTAACTTCAGAAGGGGCGAAATGCATGAGACGTTCCACCATTAGTGCATGGTAAATCGAACCATACACAAAAGTGTTGGCGCCATTTGAAAGCTTGGAGATCAAGTTAAAAAGGTCGTGTGCCGCACTCGTTGGCGAAAATGCCGCAGGATCTCCAAACTTGGATTCTAGATCAAAGGCACATGACTCAACTTGGGCAGGGTCTATCGAATAATCAAAACTTGGATCGTTTGTTGTCATCCCACAATCAAAAACTGTACTCTTCCCGCTTCCACGAGCATCCATCAGGTAGACGTTTACAGTTTCATTTAGTTCGTAATGTAGCATGTACGCAATATGTTCCACTACGTACAAACAATGTCCCAAAGGTAAGCAATGATGCTAGCCATTCGTTTATAAAAGGTACTTACTAGTTTGAAAGTTCCTTCCCGAAATCCATATATTAGTGGCAGTCTCGGGATCACTGGCAGGAAATCGTTTGACGAAAACTTTAATAGTCTTATTGACACTTTCGGGCGCTGTACAAACGTCAGAGTAGCACAGAGGTGCCGAGAATTTGCCACACTCTACTGTCAGTGTTGCTAATTCGGTATCAAGACCCACAGTATCGGAGAAATGGGGACAGGGATACCATTTGGACGCCTCATGTCTTTTGGAGGCAAGAACGTGCACAACACAAGTTGCGACGAGAGCAGCTTGAATTTCATTTCGAATATGATCAAAGTTTGTTAGACGAGGCAATCTCGGAATGATGACTTGTTATCATTAAGTTTAATGACTTTTATAGAGCTCGCAAGACAAGTTCGATAAACCGAGCCGCCATGTAAGCCAGCTAATTGTATGAATAATCCTGGATACAGTTCTGTGATCTATACCTTTTAAAAATTGGCACAAGCTGATTAGGAAAACTGGCAGTAATGGATTATGTAGTAAAGGCTCATCATATGAAGCTAACCCCATATTGGATATCACTGGTAAAGACAGCACACAATCAAAGGGCCTTTACGGATGTGTCATGTCAACATTTATACAATACAATAGGCGATGGCGTCGCTGTGCACCTCGCGCTAGTTTATTTCGACAGACGCGCAGAGGATGTGTCAGTAAAGAGCTGGTATTGATTATATAAACTACATTTTATAAATGTGCTTTGCTATTTACAATACTAACACTTTTTGAACTCGAGCACATCACAAATTGTAATTGTCCTGTATGTAATTCCGTATCAGGTGTGTACCACCTTTCAGAATCAGTTCCAAAACATTCGACTAGAATCAGGGTGTAGCGGGTCTGCCGTAGCTCTTTGCTTAAAGGAAGCTTACTTAAGTTCACCAACCTTCGTACTTTACTAGAACCAGTGCGAGTGTAGCGGATCGCAATCTGCTACCTCCAATAGTACCCAAAACCTTAACCCAGGGCAAATGTACTCTTCCGTTTAAATCGAAACTGATTTATTTGCGACAGAGCCGCCTAATCTAAAATGTTAAGTTTTCCTAATAGAATAGTAAAGCCTACATAGCTACTGGCAGTTCCGCCATGTGGTGGCTTCTTGTTACGTTAAGTCAGAGACTTGTGTAATCCACACCTGTTTACAGTCACACCATCTTGCGTGATCCACCCATTCATACCAGGGGTTATGTAACCCCGTTACACAGGGTGTGCTCACCACATTGAGATTTCAGTTTTAAGTCTTATTTCTACAATTGGCGGTGAGTTCAGGGGGGTGAGTGTTTTACTACCCTTCTGGAAGTACTTCCTTGTAATGTAGTGCAATTGTGAAGATCATCAAGACACAGAAAAAATTGGATGCTTGCGCGGTATGGGAGGCACTTAGCTTGAGCGTGCTTAGCAAAGTGAGTTTCTCAATGGGAGAATGGATATCATGAATATTGTATCGATCAAGCGTTAGGAACTTCTCGGGACGATGATATGCCTGCGACAAAGTCGTGCACAAGTGCCGCCTGAATCAAGGGTCATCAGAAAGTAAGAGGGCGCTGTTCAAAAAGAGTCCCTCAAACACAACTGTGACGAGGAAGCGATTCCCTACGTGGAGGGAGGAGGACAGTCCTGACTTCGAGGGAAGTAGAGCGACTTAATACCTTGAAGGTAAATTTGCAACTGAATAAATTTAGTTCCTAGCTACAGGCTCCTAACGTTTTACTAATAAAACCTTTGGCTCTTGATTTATACACCAAGGGTGTACTAAGGTTGAACCTTAGATTTAAATGATTCAAAATCTTGGGTGTTCGGAGCTTGAATTTCGAAGGCTTGAACTTCAATTCCGTGGAAAGTACTCAATAGTAGCGACTAGCGTACGCCCATCGATATTATGAACGCTGCTTCGGCGGACTCGGACGAAGCGACCGTGTGGCATTCCCGTCTCGGTCATGTCACATCTAATCATGTTGCTGGCCTAGATTTATCGCGAATGGTGTGCTTCATAGGCTGTAGCTTCACCTCCTGAAGGCCCGTGTGAAGGTTTTGTGTAAGAGAGAAGAACTTTTGAGAATTTCGCCAAGACGTTTGGAGACGTCATCAAGACTCACGTCACATTCGAAAAAAATCACACTAATGTGGTCTTTAACGGAGAAACATGTACCCTGGATGGTGTGACGACACCTTAACAAGAAGTCACTTCGTGGCGAGACTCCCTGTAGTTATGCATTTTAATTAGGTTTTACTTTTTAATTAGGAAAGCTATAGATTTAAATGTAGACGGCTCTGCCGCGAATAAGACAATTAAATGCAGCATACATTTTGAATGGAAGAGTGTTTTTGCATTGGGTTAAGGTTGTGGATACTCTTGGAGTTGGCGGATTGCGATCCGCTATACTCATACTGGTTCTAGTATCGAAGGTAATGTCGGTGCCCTTAGCTAAGCATCCTCTAAGCGAAGAGCTATGGCGCCCCGCTGCACTTGGTACTTGCAGTCAAGTCGTTACGACTCATGGAGCAATTATCCTATTTCCCTCAGCGCATGCAGAACGAGCTTGAAACTCTGTTGTTTTTACTTGGCCCCGAGGGCGTGTAACACCTTGCTTCACAAGGACCTGAAGCGATCAGCGCGCGCCTAGAGGCGTTTTCGAACTATAAAAATGCTCTGTTTAAGAACCTAAAGGAGAGAATTCTGGCATCGACTGCTTTCATGACGCCACCGTCGACGACGGATTTCTACTCCCAACCCAGGCCGCTCATGGTAAGCGTTAAGACCTTCGAGCGTAAGGATGAAGAGAATCTCCTGCTTTGGGTGAGAGAGACCGAGATGTCAAGGGCGTACAAGCAAGGGCGTACACCATACTCTAGACTGAGCAACATCTCGTGGCGCTAGCTATCTCCAAGCTTGGTTGTCGAGCGCGAGAATGGGCACTGACGTGCGGTTCATCGGTTCAAGCGGACCTGATGCTGCAGCTTTCACGAGTGTTCTCGCCGCCTAACCAGGCATATCGCGTGCGATCGTGTTTGCTTACCACCCGACAGGGCAAGAAGGAATTGGTGGACATTGTTCAAGGGTTGAGAACACTCATTGCCAGGATGGCAGCCGATCCTCTCTCCGATACGGTCACAGTGACCGTCTTGATGGAGGGCCTCTGCACTGGCGTGGCTTGAATAGAAGATTTATGTGTGCATCCGTCTTCATTTGAAGAAGCTGTGAAAGCGGCATTGGTTGCCAAAAGCAACTTTGAGTCGACACGACTTTGTTGGAATGCACACCCTCAGAGCTCGTCTAGCGGGCCTGAGCCGATGGATAACAGCTATGCTGAGAAAGAGGAGGGAGAGCTAAGAGCTGCCGAGTAGCGTTTAAACCCCGATGGACTTTTGTCTGTGGAGGCACCCGTCACCTTCGAACTGATTGTCTCCTGCGCAAGGCCCGTAAAGATTTATCAAACCGACGTCTCGCTTCTAACCCGTCTAGTTTGTCGCAAAGAAACGACAACACCCAGTAGGCTTAGTACGTCATACTGGAGAGAACTTACGTCTAAACGATGTAGAGGACAGCAGGACTCAGCCCGAAGAGCTCCGTGCTCTTGAGCATGAAATGTGTATGCAAGCCAGATTTGCTGGCCGTAAAAGCGATTGTGAAGGGCTTTGAGAAGCCATGAAAGATCCTTATCGATTTGGGATGTCGGGCAATTCTGCTCGACGCTCTAAGTTAGGAGGAATTCAGCTGAACACTGAGGCGCTGAAACAGCGGTTGAGTGACATCGTCACTGTTCACTCAGCGACGGGGACTTGTGTCACTGTGCCGAGGGTCCCTGCTGAACTGGGTGTCAAGTTTCTTGACTTGGGTAGCTTAGAATGCTGTTTAGTCTTAGACTTAGATTCAAGACCTCATCTTTAATATAGCATGGCTGAAACATCATGAGCCATGGATCGATTGGAGGTCGAAGACCTTCGGCGCTACGTGCATATCTTCTGGTGGAGCTTTTGTGAGTCATGGACCCATGTCTGCTAGGAAGCAGAAGCGCTTTTGGTGCGGGCACTGGACCGATACGGTCAACGTGCTGGTGATCGGAGTATCCGAGTTGTCGAACACCAAAGATATATTGGACAGGAGTCCTGAGCGTGGCTCGCGAGCTGGACGTGGAGTGTCACGAATCCACTGAGCGCCGCTCAAGTATCGGAGCAGTCGCTGCATGCCATACGTCGCATGGTCGGTCAAGAGCTGAGGCATCAAAGGCGAGGCCCCAGTGATGCACGTACGTGTCATGTAACCCACTGAGCGCTCCTCAAGTGTCGAAACAGTCGATGCTTGCCATGAGTGAAGTGGTCAGATGAAGTCTAGGGCGTCGAGGGGGGGGCTTCAGATACAAGTGGAGTGGCGAATTATCTACTGGACGAAGACTGCGGAAATAGCAGCTCTTTGTCGGATGTAGTTAATGACATCAAGGCTCCTATGGAGCAGGGGGTGGGGACACTGGACGACGCTGAGTGCGTTTTTCCACTGGACTTGCAGAGACATATAACCTCTGTGGAGATGCAACGGCGACGCTTTATTATCGGCAAGACGCCGGGCTCGACCGGACCCAGGGCGTGTCTACCGTAGACGATAGCGCACAGCTAGATACCCTTGTCAACGGTATGACAGGAGATAAAGACGGCGACGCCACCCTCGAGGCTATTCTTGTAGTGGATGCTCGTCTTGAGCTGGACGAGGTGTCCGTCGAAGAGTCTGGCGGTGCCTTGAATAATTTTGCCAAGGTGGTCATTATACGACCAAAACGAGGAGAATCACTCGTCGTCGCTTCTGAATGAAGCTACACTTAGAGGGTGCTGAACGCACGAAGTGGATCCTCGATCCTAAACAATCCCTTGGACCCGAACTATCCCTTGGTAAAGGAATTTCAAGACGTCGTCTGATCTCGGATTCGATTTCCATCAATTGAAGCTTCTCCAGCGGTGCAAGACCGCGGTGCTGCTTTGACGCCGGTAGTATCTCAGCTACAGGAGATGGTGCAGACGCTGCTTCGTCTGCAGCAGAAATTTGGATGGCTGGTAAGAGCGAGGTCGTAGTATGCCATCAGTAAGTCAACGTAAGAGCTAGATTTATACTCTCTCGGTTTGGGAGTTCAAAATATATGTCAATCCATTTTTTGGCTTCGACTAGAAAAGGTTGGATGTAGCGCAGTCGCGACTTAGTGTTATACAGCGTAGGCAAAGAAATTGAAATCTATACGACGCTTTGCTTCAAAAATATTTGTGATTATTTTGCCTGTCTCTGGCAGCCACGTTTTATTTTATCACATTCTAGCTCTTTGCTGTAGCGTAACGTACCCATCCCGCGCATATGATACATCTCATTGTGATGATATCACAGATTTTACAGCAGAATGTAGCCGGGCTGATATCAGCAGTTCGAAAGCGATCAATAGCTCTCTTTCACTAAGCTGGAGTCACTTTGTGGCTCTGGCAAAGGCATCTTTACTCAAGCAGTTATGTAAATACTAGCTTAACAATGCACTGCGTTATTTCTTAGCGCATAGTCAATAAGTGGAAACAAGTCGTCAGCACTGCGGTCTGTCCACGCAAACATTTTGGAGTATATCCTCTGCAACGCCATTGAACGCGGATCTCGGGGTCATTTTTTTGCGGATGGCTAGCAGCCGACATGATTAATCTGGTGCTAGCATACTGAACAATGTTTACCAAAACGTCGCCGTGAAGTGCGACGTTTTGATCCAATGCAAATGCTATCGATAGCCGTATCAGCGAAACACTTCGTCGGGGATCATCTTTGATACATCATTATCTATAACAGTGTCGCTGACAGTAGTATGGTGAGGCATTTTGCTCTGACGATCATCAAAAAAAATATTGCAGTCATCACTGTACGTGGCTTTGAGAAGACAAGCACCAAACTTTTTGTCCCTGATTGTGCTTTAACTATTCTGTTGTAGTTGCAAACAGTTATTGAAAAAACGTTGGAATCTCCGAGATGGACGAGACCGGTACTAAGCAGTGCAATTGAAGAAACGGAATATCCACTCACCAAACTGGGTGATGACAATTTGAGCTTAGTGCAAACACAAGTCGCAGCCTTTCTCGTTTCCAACAATTCGCATTAAATTTATAATGAAGGTGTCTGAAGCTCGGGGTCACCCAAAAATTTTATACTTGAACAAAAATACAGTGCTGTACTCTAACAAAAATCCAAAGAAAAACGTAACGGATGCGAGCACTTCGCTGCGTGTGTTACAGTTTCGCCCGGCGAAAAGCTCTCAACCTGTTTATTGACATCAATTGGGGTGTACGTACAGTCAGAAATATTTCTTACAGTGGACGAAACCTATGACGAAGTCGATCAATTCTGTACAGTTTTTCTCGACGACCTAGCATTTTGAGCTTTGAGCTTTTTATTGCTAGATTTGTTTGAGGTATCTTGCCCCGTTGTCATCTCCCTCTTGTTGTTATTTCGTCAGCGCGTCGTATTATGTCGTGAAATGGTTCAAATCCATTAGATAGAATCAAAGACGGCTTTACAAAGCTGTCAGCAAGCCTACAATAGCCGACATGGTGGCTCAATATTACAGACAAACTTGTCTTGCGAGCTCTATAAGAGTCACTGGGCTTTATGATTCATCATCCTGAATTTTGCTTTTTCTAACAATTTTTGATCCCGTTCGAAACTTTTTGGCTTTCGTTGCAACGTGTATTCTGCAGGTCTCAGCTATTAGGCGCCCAGATGGTATCCCTGCCCCCATTTCTCCGATAGTGTGGGTCTTGATACCGAGTTAGCAACGCTGATAGTAGAGTGTGGCAAGTTCTCAGCACCTCTGTGCTCTCTGACGTCTGTACTGCGCCCGATAGTGTGAACCAGATTCTTTGTAAGACGATATCCTACCTTTCATCTCGAGACTGTTATCAATATATGGGTTCTGGACGTGGTCTTCGTAAGTAGTAAGTAGCTTTCAGAATTATAGCCTTTGCGACATTGATTATAGATAGATAGAGGAATTTTCTGCGTACATGCTAAATTACGAATAAAACACAGATGCAAATATCTATCTGATGGATGCTCGCGGAATTGGGAAGAGTACGACTCAAAATTGTGGATGACAACAAGCGATCCAGATTTTATATTTTCAATGGACCTCTCCCAAGTTGAGTCATGTGCCATGAACTAGAATCCGAATTTGTCGATGTCGCGGCGTTTTCAACGACGAGTGTGAGGTGCGACTAGTTCACTTGATCTCCAAGCTTTCAAATGGAGCCAGAACTTTTGCGTATGGTTCGAGTTACGGAGCACTAATGGTAGAATGTATCATGCATCTCGGCCCTCCTGATGTCTTTGGATACGCTCTGAAGTCGCTAATGAGTACCACGGGTGTATACAATTATACAGAACTCAACCTTATCAACAACTAAGTGGCAAAACATTTATGGAGCGTTGCGATCACGACCGCGTCTGTAAATCCCACTTGATAGCACCATACACATCAATTGCTGCATTTCAAGATATTTTGACTGGTCTCGACAATCAAGTTGACTCAGCGTGCCTTGAGATAATAAGCACAATGAATGTTATCCTTGCAAAAACTGAGACGAGTTGATTTCAACACTTTTGACAACCCCAATGTTTTACATAAGAATACCTCAACCGTCTCAATCGCTGTCAATTCTAAGATGTGGACGTACATCAACAGTTTAATAGATACTGACAGTCTCATTTCGAATCCCAACCGCCAGAGATCCGAGATGTTGTTTAACCTCATCATGCGTTTGAAATTTCAAGAACGACCGACACCTTCGCCGGTGGAATCGAGAAAGCATTTTACGAACTCTGTCGCGGCTTGGGGCTTACACGCCGATGTTTCTTTGTATTGTGCTTTGTGGAAAGAGTAATCGAAGGTGTGCGATAAGAACAGTATGACGCTCGTGGAATCATTTATAAGCGTGATCGATACTGATTTGCGAGTGTTACAACTTCTAGTCAGGTCAGCGTATTAGTGTTAAGCAGCAAAACGGATCTATATACACCGTACAATTATACGAAATGCCTCCTCAAATCCCTCACCGGCAAAATGAAGGAGTCGAGACTGGTGGTAACGTAATATTATTTTCTTCTACCTTTAACTGAGAGTTCAATTTGCGGACACTTGTGCATTGAAAAAAATTGCATCCTACGTCCGCAGTCTATTAACTTCAGCTTTAGGTCGGTCACTGTCTAAGTTCTGTCTCCCTTGCTCGAAATCATGTGCCTAACAATTTTCTAGCGTGGATAAATCGTGTCTGGACGAGATGCAAATATTTGCCATGATTCCTAGCAACTTTTAAGACGTCGATATTACGATCCACCTTGATTTAGCGCTTGCTATTAATTTAAAAGCGATCACGTTGAGAGTTTTCGCTCTTTGTTTGATGATGTCTGTTTTACGATAGCATGATAAATTCAATGGCATTTTAAATGATTCCAATATCACACATTCCTTCTTCAAATCACATTTGTTCATGGCATTTCCTTGAAGTGCGTAATCTGACTGCATTATCAGTTCATCGCTCGAGAGTGTGGTTATACTCAGGAGACGCCAGAACATATGAAGGCGTGAGCAATGAATTCATCCTTCACCTTCTATCGAGATGAGCGTCAAATATTCACGCATCGCTTGCTTACAACTTTCCATCGTAGGTCATGCATGATCTGGCGTTTGCAAAGCATAAGGGTATGGATACGGGCCGTTACCGTTGAACGATAAAGGATGAAACCTAAGTCACACTCTTCGCAACATCGTTCGCAGCTTGAGCGACTGGATAGTTTTAGCTTGCTGAAATCTTGTCAGGTTGTCTGCCTTTCACAATGGCCATTTCCCACACTTTTGAAGTATTATCGTCTACAAAATGACGACAGCGATTTCAGAGTAGTTGATGCTGCCAATACTATTATCATTAGCTACACCTACCATCGTATCAAAAACTTTTTGAACACTACTGTCCGACGGCTGTGAAAGCGCTGTATACTCTACATATTTTACTATGCTCGTTAAAAGCGTTTGTTTTTCAAGCAATAGCTCGATCTCGCTACTAAACAGATTCTCAAGTAACGAAGGTGCCACGATTGGATCGAATCTTATCTTTGACTTCACTTTTCTCCTTATGCAACAAAATCGCTGGAGCTTATTGATCCCAAATATGGTACATACCCATGAACCGATGTGATTTGGGTTTACTTCAAGTGTAAATTGACTCGGGAGCGCCGTACATTGTATCGATATTGAAAGAATTGGCCAGCACTGAAATTAGCGAGTAGAGTAAGAAGATTTTTTTTTTACTGGAAGCATTTAAGATACTGCTAAAATCAACTAAACAGTTAATGCTATTTTACGTGGCATCGAAGTAGGGAATCACCACAGAATACAACGCGATCGTTTATGAGATTGATACCTAACGCTTAATTAAGTTTAAAGTTTGTGAAGTTGGCTTCGTTAAAGTCGCTGGGGATCATCTCGAATGTTGGCATCTCCTTTAGACACGACTTATCCCAGACCAGCAAGATCACCGTCACTTTGAAGATATGAATCAATAATACTCAATCCACATGTTTCCATCGATGGAACTCTCAGTTGATAAGGTGTAGAATGCAATGTTGCGCCACTGCCAATTTCGAAGGTGATCAGCTCCTTACGCTTGCCGGTGAGGGATTCGAATATGCGTTTAGTGTACTTGTATGGTGTAAATATATCCATCTTGCTGCTCAACACTAATACGCTGGCCTGACTAGGAATTGTAACACTCGCATTCCAGTATTGATCGCGCTTATAAGTAATTTCCCGAGCTTCATACTTGCCAAAATCGTACTTGTCGCACACCTTCGATTGTTCTTTTGACATAGCACAATACAAAGGAACGTTGGTGTGTATGCCCCAACCCGCGACAGAGTCCGTAAAGCGCTTTTTCAATTCCACTGGCGAAAGTGTTGGTCTCTCCCACAATTCCGAGAACAGGATGAGGTTGTAACATATCCGAGTTCTCGCTAGAAATCGAAGTATCTATTCTCGAATTTATTATATTGTTTATGAACGTCTTCAAGACGTCCGCATCGTGGGATTGACAGCGCTTGAGACGGTACACGAACTGAGGAATTGTCGTGTACGACGTTGGGATAACCAGAAGAGCGGAAAGAAGTTTTCGCAGTCTGTGCGAGGCTGGCCACTTTTCATTGGTAACATTCATGGTGTTCATTATCTCAAAACATGCTGAGTCAACTTGATTGTCGAGACCGCTCATAATATCTTGAAGCGCATCAGTTAACGTATCCGGTTTCTTAAAATGGGAACTGCAGACACGGTCGTGATCGCAACGCTCCATAAAAGTAGTCGCAACTTCATCGTTGTTGAGGTCGAACTCTGTATAATAGTTATATATTCCCGTGGTACTCATTGACGAATCCAGAACGTACCCAATAACTTCAGGAGGGGCAAGATGCATGAGACGTTCCACAATTAGCGCTTCGTAGTTGGTACCGTACACAAAAGTGTGGGCGCCATTGGAAAGCTTGGAGATCAAGTAAAAAAGGTCGTGCGCCGCACTCGTCGGTGAAAACGCCACGAGATCACCATACTTGGATTCGAGATTTATGGCACATGACTCAGCTTGAGCAGGGTCCATTGACAAATCAGAATAGGAATTGGTAGTTGTCACTCCACAAATTAAAGTTGTACTTTTCCCGCTTCCACGAGCATGCATCATATAGATGTTTGCAGATCCATTTCGTTTGGAAAATAGCAGGAGCGCTGAATATTCCTCTACGTTTAAAAAAATGTCCCAAAGGTTAGCAATGATGCCCGCCATTCACCACAACCCATATATTGATAGCAGTCTCGGGATGAAAGGCAGGAAATCGTTTTACGAAAACTTCGATAGACTGGTTCACACTCTCGGGCGCTGTACAGACGTCAGAGTAGCACAGAGGTGCTGAGAACTTGCCACACTCTACTTCCAGCGTTGCTAATTCGGGATCAAGACCCACAGTATTGGAGAAATGGGGGCAGGGATACCATTTGGACGCCTCATGTCTTTTGGAAGCAAGAACCTGTACAACACAAGTTGCGACGAGAGCCACGAGCTTGAAATTCATTTCGAAGTGATCAACAATTGTTAGACGAAGCAAATTCCGGTATGATGACTAGCTATCTGAAAGTCCATAGAGCTCGCACGAAAAGTTTGATGAATCATACGACATTCAATTGTATAAAAACGCAATGAAAAACAATTCCATGATCAAGGCGGTGGCAAAATTGGTACAAGCTCATTAGGACATATTCCGGCATTATTGACTTCCGACTGATCCGATTGGATTAAATTGAGCGTCCATCAGATGTGGTCAAAGCCCCATGTTGGATATCACTGGTAAAGACAGCACAAAAGCAGACGGAAATCATTCACGGGAGTGTATGTCGACAATGTTGACGATACGATATGCGACGGGGTTGCTGTGCACCTGTACTTTCAAGGAAATTATATGTTTCGAATTCAGTCACTTCAAACTATTTTTGATAGATATATACCTTACAAAAAGTTTCTGAACACCCGCGCGCACATCGTAGGATCTTATCAAGTGCAACATGCTCTACCTTCCAACAGATTACATACGACCTAGAGTCAAATGTGCTCACTAGGTTAGAATGTTGGCCAATGTTCTTATTTTACTTTTGTTTTTATCATCGAGGGAAAGCCCCCACTCTGTCTGGCTCTTAGAGACTGTAAGCCCAAGTGGAATGATGAAAAGCAACAATACAATTCGAACGAATAAAAATGCTTCTTCTGGGAGTCTTCCGCACGTATGGCGCTTGTCATGAAAAATTCTGCCTAGCCATATTAAGATAAAACCAGACAGCACGATGGCAAAGACGACTACACAGTGGAAGACCGCTTGTAACGGGGCTACACGAACCCTTGTATGAAAAGGCAGGTCACGCAAGATGGTGTGGCCGTACATAGTTATGGATTGCACAAATGGTGTGACAACACCGTATCAGGAAGCCACTGCCAGCAGTAATGCACATTAATTAGTTTTATTATATTAATTAGGAAAACCTAAAGTTATAGATATTGGCGGCTCTGTGGCAACTTGAACAATTCAATTTGAGCGAAAGAGTCTCATTACCTTGGTTAGGGTTTTTAAGGACTCTAAAGATAGCGGGTTGTGATCCACTACACTCGTACGGGTTCTTTTATCGAACATAAGGTCGGTGACCTTAGCTTAGCTTCCTACGGCAGCCCCACTGCACCGTTGATCTCAAGGCGCTGGCGATCATCCCAAAGATGCTCGGCCTGACGGACCAGTTGTGATTCGAAACTCGTCCTCGTTTGCTGAGACATGGCAGTATTGTGCAATTTTTTTTACATAAAAAGAGCCTGTAATAGTGTCCAGCTCAGGCAGTAGCTCCATGACTTTGTGACGGTCGTTGGCGGAGCATTGATCATAACGGACGTCTTTTTTATGCGCCTGTCGTTTGTGGGAAAAGGATGGACATTTGACTTCCCTTTCTATGAAGTTTTTGCCAGAGAGATGTGGTGGTGAATATTATCAAGACACGGGGAAATATGGATATCTACTAGGTCACGGAGGCAATCCGTCTTGTGTATAATGCGATCCAGTAGCATGAGAGTTAAGCGAGTCAGTGTTGCTCTTAACCAGTCTTATAGCCGCCGTGATAGCCTCACTGTCTGTTTTGCCCTACAAATAATAAAGTTATAACTCGCAGCTGCACTTGTAGCGCTTTGTAGCGCTTCAACAAGGGAGGCAGACGTCGTCAAAAACAAGCGGCTGAGCGTATGATGCCTTCTCATGACGATGAAATGGATGCATTGAAGTTCAAGCATAAGCGCAGGTAATTTCGCAAGAACCAAGGATTATCAGGGCCATTTTTATTTTCAGTGTCGATTGCTGAGTCTTTGGAGCACGAGTCCAGAGTAGAGCTCTAGCCCAGTTGTTATTTGATCGTGATGGTCTTAGCAAGTTTTGGCCAAGCCGATCTGGCAAGGAACGTGCTTGTAATGTGCAAAAGGCTTTTGCCAGTTTGCGGTGTTTGCGTATTACGCCTAGTGCTGGACACTGGGGATCTTCAAACAACTCCATAATCCTGATCAGCTCAGCTTTTGTAGTTTTCCGATTTTGACCAAAAACGGCTCTCAGAATTGGTACAATGGCATGAAAAGTAGACGTGCAGTTTGAGAATATTGTTATTTTGTTTCGTACAGTAAATGCCTCGCCCCAAGTAACGAGCAATGAAATTAGCAGGACAAGTTCAACGTGGCATGCGGCAGTACACCCTACATCAATTAAGTTACACCGTATCGACAAAGTCGGACAAGGCAACCGTGCGGCACGCCCGCCGATGTCATGTTGTCGTGAGGTCGCGTTGCTGGCCCACATTTTATTGAAAATGGAATGCTCAAACCTCCGTCGCTTTTTCTTCTCGAAGTATTGTGAGACAGTTGGCTGTAGGGGAATGTCTGTCGAACAAATTACCGAAACGTCCAGTAGCGTGATCAAGACTGACTTTACATCACAGATAATAAAAAGAAATGTGATTGGCTCATCGACATAAAACTAAATGGTGGTGCTGGCTGTCTTTGTGGACGCCTTGTTTCTGCTCAAACTAAACGGTGACATGATTGCAAAGTTCAAAGGGCATACAGTAATTTTGAAAGTTCACACATTATAAACACGCGATGTATCCGGGCTGGTCATGCCTGAGAAAATTGCAGCAAGCAGTTCACCAAATCTGTCCACAACATGGCATTCTCCACCAGACCAGTGTCCCCTACACGCTACAGCAGAATGGACTGGCTGCATAACCCAATCGTTGTCACTGCTCTGTTATCTGCATCATCTAACTGAATGTTTGTGAAAGGCATTTGTGGGCTCTGCTGACACGATCGATCGTCTATCCATTTCTACTCGGTACGACCCAGCGCATTTTGAGCTAGCTTGAAATTTGAGCCATCTCTAAAACTAGTCTTCGTGTTCCGTATTTCTTGACTAAGTGAATGCTGATGTTCACAAGCTGATAATGCTTAACGCACAGGCCCACCGTTGAATCTCCCAGGTGTGTGCATACGGATCGAGAGCGTATTGTGTCTGGATTGTGTTTGACAATCATCGTTAATGTCGCAGACGATCGCCTTCGATGAAGGGTCTTTTCCTGTAAATCGTCAGGCTACTCGTCTTGCCATCAACTGGTCAGTCATTGATAATAAAATAGGTGCCCAACAACCTATTAAAATCACTGAAGACGTGGATGTAGAGTAATTCAAAATTGGAAGCGCAATACACCTAGCCGCCTTATAGAGACCGTGCTCCCATCACAATCACCTATCTTAAGGTCAGACCGATTATCCTGACCAAACAGCGTGGTCCCACGTCAATTTGAGTGAAATAGTTCCACTCCGCATTCCTCGCCTCGCATTTCAGCTCATCGGCTCCTGTCCAGGAATCGGAAAGTGATTGTACACGTCTCAATCAAGAAGGATAGCCATTCTCTTAACGGTGAAATCGCACTGTCTTGTGCAGTTTAGCAACCACCCCCACTGTTGACCAGTGACTTGCTTTTACTCCTTCTCGCGATAGATTAATGTGTTATTTGATGGAGAGTAGTATCAAATTTCATTTTCCTGTTCGCGACGTTGATTCGGATACAGAGGAGCCCGATCTGTAACGTCTTCGTCGCAACGATGGCTATGAGATAGATTATTTTATTCAAGAACTCTATCGACGCATGAAGAATATACGGCATCTCTTGGTGCCTCTTCATGGAAAACGCAGTTTTTTCGAGTTCTGGTCTCATTTTTTTACCATACGCGACGTGCAGTCGACGTCTACATTGGAATGGAAGAGGAATTAAGAGAAGAGACGTAGGCAAAGGCAAGTAAGTCGTATCCTGTAATACAGACTCCATGAACTCGGGCAATTGACTGTTCAATACATAAAAGTGATCATTTGTCGATCACAAGCGGTTTTTTGATACCGAGTGGGAAGCGAAAGCGATATCTTCTGATTTAAGGCTACCTGGTAGCTCAACAAATTGGCCAGGCTTTTGAGGTCGTCCATCAAAAAACCAATTACGGTCACAATCTATGAAGTTTTCCCCATCCGTTGTCAACACAAATTTGAAATATGTTCACACGACGTGAAAAATGCGATTCTCAATGGAGGTTTAGACACATCGGTTAATATTTGACCGCCACAAGACAATCATCTCTCTAAGGTATTAATCTTCAGCCGCATCGAATTTTGTAGGGATTAAAGCAAACTGCAGCTGTGTGGAACATGATAGATAGGAAGGTAATCACGTCCGTTGCATTTCAGCCATGTCGCTCTGACACGTGCTCACTTGTCATCCCACTGTAAAGTGGCATGATCGCCTTCCTTGCACTCCACGCCAATGATTGACTCATTGTATGCGTGGAAGCTCACTCGCTCGGTACACTTCACGCTCAAGAATATCGATAATGCGCGAATCGTGTCGGGAATTGAGCTAGTGTACTATCGTGGTGAAAAAGGTCTTCACTTGTGCCCAAATCAATTGGCAAAGCGGCTATTCAAAAATTCCAGATTGCCTGCCGAGATCCAACCTTTTTGACCAGGATCAGAGCGATTTACCATTGGTAAAGTCGCGAGGTTGAGGAAATCAATCGGATCCCTAGTGTATATTGCAGAATTATGAAGTCCGTATATCTGCGCCTCGAATCGTGACTTGATTCACTCCCTTATGTCACCAACCCAAGCGCATGAAACGGCGGCTCATGTTCAACACTTAGTGTTGGTAAGCACCAATTTGGGACTTGCCATACGCGCGGTGATCCGTCGACCTCATCGCTAATAAGATAGCGACATTGCGAAAGTGAACTCTACTACTGTAGTCTTAGTCGTATCGAGCGGTCCGCACATCGAAGCCTCAAAGGTCTACCAATTGCTCTGTCATCGGCCGAGGCAGAGCATATCATGACTTTAAATCATACAGCGCAAGATTTTTATGGCTTTGTTTTTTTTGAGAGCTCAGTTCCAAGACGAAATCTGAAATTATGATAGTGAACAGTTAAGCCGCGATCGCGATCACGCACCACGCGATATACATGTCACCGCCAAATCCTACTCAATAACAAAGGCACTTGCGGCATTACAGTTTATGAAACTTGCCAAACCGTACGGTGTTGTGAGTCTTGCTGAGATGGTGAATTGAGGTGAAGTGTCTTGAATTATTGAGAATCTTTGGTCTGTTCATGTCCGTATCAACATCAGATGCGAGACGCCCACCTACAAAAAAAAATTCAGGAGCATTTGACCTGGATATTGGTTCGTAATCCTTCTTTAGAATTTTTAATTGTTTTTCTTTACATTTATTTACCATCATACAACTCTGGCGAGGTAAACGCAGTGAGTATTCCGAGCGCGATGCTCTGGGAGTGGCTAGTTGTGTTTTAGAAATTTTCAACTGAGCTAGCAACGTCCAATTCTATGGTGGCAATACTATTCGGACCGCCTCATGATTATGCACAAACCTGCTTCGACGATGGAAGTTCCCTTCGTGTGCAGTGCACGGTAGTCGCAGATAAAGAATGTCATTGGGCACATGCGAACGACGCTCAAAAATATGAATTTCAACGATTATTGACCAATATGGTCAAGTGTGTGTCTGGCTCCGGTGAAACCCAGTCTGAGTAGCTCTATTGGAAAGTAGGGCTTGCGGACAGGTACCGCAAAGACAAACGTCACCGTAGATTGTCCAGTGCCTCTGCTTGAGATGGTTTGACGAATTGGCGTGGCTTGGCTTCGCTGAGTACATGCAAATAGTATACTGTCAACTATATTTTCTCGGCACGACCTCACACCAATCTTCTTGAGAAAATATGTCGACGGTGTTGGTGTACGGCGCAAGAGACTGTCTTTAGCGCAATGTTATAATTCTTCTTGCTTATTCCAATACTGGCACTTCTGAATCCAGATCAGCAATTCCACGTCATCTGTGACGCTTGAGTCTTTGTTATAAGCTGCACTTAAGCTCAAGCAGTTGCTAATGGTTGAGTCTCCCCAAAACATCGCTGCTGTGAAAAATTAGGGTGTTCAGGAGGAGGGGCTACCTGCAATGGAGGATTGTCGACAAGTGCAAGGTGCAACAGCTTTGCTCTATGCCGCGTGCGATTGACGCAGAGCATGCATCGTTGCATATAGCGACGTCATCGCATCATTAATCACAGAGATGCCAAAAAAGTTATCTTACTGCCAGAAATACCATCGAAGTGAGCTTCATGCCCGGTCGGCTGGATGTATTAGTGAAAGCGCTTCTAGTCGCTTCGACTGTCGTCGCATGTCACTGTAGTGACATCGCCAATTGATGTGGCGGTATTCGGCCCACAAGTCTGAGTTATCATGTGATGCGTAGCTGAAACCTTTGTAAAGGAAAAAGCTTAAAATTCAATATCACTATAGATAAGCGTGTGGTTCAACGCCTACACCGCTTCGCATGATCTCAATGCTAGCAGAATCATAGCATTGACCTACTTGATGGACATCGTGTGCTTAGTACAAAATGCTGTACTAAGCACACGACACTTATCTGGGTGGCGACCTAAAAAAAAGATATGCTACGCGATGGGCGCTATGTCTTAGTGACCCAATACATTAACATGGTATGAATACATATTTTCACACATGTGAAACGTGCCAATGGACTAGTTACTCGCCGCATGCGTCGGCGTTTTTGGTCAGCCTGCCGTTCCGTCATAATGTTGTCGGATCATAAATACGATTTTCACCGAAACCTCAAACGATGCGTCCGTGATACAAGTAATGTAGTTTCTGTTAACCGCCTGATCTTGATGATTCATCATACTTCTGTCAATGTAAGTGTGATCTTAATGGATTTAGCCGAGGTGTTCCACGACCAAATCTATCATTAATATGATTGCCGACAGCCACTTTATCAAATATAACCTGCTTTATGAAAAACTAATTAAGACGCTCGGCTACGCATTAGACATGCCAAACACTGACTGTACGGTACAAATACGTCTAAATTCACTGGACCAGAGTTCTTACACGCCTGCACTCGGGCATCCCGGTATCCACCGAGATCAGAAAGAATGCCATAGCGTCACTCTGCAAGCAAACGAGTTAGCGGTTAGGAAAGCCTGTACTCCCCAAAGGGAGGTACCTTGAGTACCAAAAGCTGATGAGTATTTTAAAATGCATCGTATTCCTTTTTTAAGCACAGGAAGAGAACAAGTCGTCTCTGCAGTGTACTTCTAGAGCGCCGAGTATGTTTTCAACTCACAACATCAACAGTAATTCGATACGGGCCTCGAGTTGGTATCTCACAACTCCCGTGCATGATGATTTTAGCCTGAGTCGTGTCCATAGAGTAGCTCTCTCAGCAACCGACCGAATCTCGAATCTTTAGCTAGATCGGTCCCCACTCGCTAGCAAAAAGCGCACTGTACAGGGCAGAACTGGATATAGACTAAGGACTACTACGCCGTGAGCATCACCGTCCCCAGGACATTCTTTACGGGAAGTTAATGAAATCCAATTTCCCAGGACATCCTTTACAAGGCGGGATTTCAGATCTTATGGATTTCTCTAGTAAATATATTTTCTGCACCCCACTTGATACCAATTAGAGCGCTAGAGGACACGCCGGTCAAACAAACATCCCACGGTGAGCCTCCCCTTTTCTTTTGAGAAATGCGGGGGACGACTCTCTTGCAGCTGGCTCTCGTGAGCTGTTTTAGTTGAGGCGGCATGTCAATTCTCTTAAAATTAGATGTCTTTGGAGACTAAGATAGGTCACCCTATCAATGCGAGTACCAAGCTATTCCCACCACACTGCAGAGCTTGGAGCCTGCTCGGCATTCAAATCCGTAACGCTGGAGTAGCCTCCGACCACGGGATTGTATAAACGTTGCTTTGTCTACGACAAAGCGCTCATATTCTGACTGGCTAGAGTGAGCGGCATCGGTGGTAAGCTTGGCTTGGACAATATGCGGGCTTATATTGTTACATTTCGCATCATTTGCTTATTTGAAAAGTAAGACCAATATGCCATACACTCAGTAAGATGTAGTCCCATTTCTTGGAACAGTACGAGTAAATTTCAATTCAATCTTCTTTAAGATTAGGTCACATCCAAGTTGTATAGACAAACACTTCATGGAAATATGGCTTACTGCATACGATGTAAAATTTCTTTTATTGCATATTCGTGCATTCGTGCGTGTTGTGCCTGCCGCCTGTCTTACCAACGTGTTGCTTTTGACCATACGGCCTCTCGATTCTAGCTTTACGCACTTGGGACATGGCGCCCAATCTCAACAAAATCAAATTGCAATTATTGAGCGATGGGAAGCAGAGCTAGTATCAGTGAGTTGTATTCGGTCGGCAGCCACTCCACTCAGCCCGGACACACTGTGTGTCGGTGTCAAAGGCATTTGAAGAGTAACTTCACCATTTGAGTAAAATTAGGTACACTTGCAAAAGGAATTCCCGCACTGGTAAACTCAAGCTGAATCAGTGAGACAGTTCGCTTTCTCCGCGCATGAGCTGAAACACATCCTTTACATAGCTATTCTCGCGTTTTACCTCACCATCTGTTTGAGCTGGTCAGCGGCTGACATATCAAATTTAACGCCGAGTACGTTGAACAATGTTAGCCAAAACTTTATTATTAGCACATATCTTAAGTTGATACGACAGCTACCGGCAGCCATGATGGCCAACATTGTTATCGAGGAACTGGTTGGCTATTCCTAATCGATCACCATATTGCTGACAGTAGCACGATAAAAGTCAACATGCTTAGTCGGATCACATTAGCCACAATACCAGTAACACCGGAAGCATCATTTGAGAGACCACGAATTCAGCCCATACATATGTACTGGCAACACTTTTGTGAGCCAAAAGGCTAGCCAAGGGCACCAACGAATGCGGCGAGGAATTAACTCGCTGATTTGTTTTTTACGCTCGCACCTATGTACTCCACCAATCATACATGTTGGCTCACTAATTCAAAGTGCTCTCTGAAACGTATGGTTTTCCTTTCTCAGTGGCCATCTAAAGGATATCATGTACCTTGTGCAGCATTTGTAATGTGCGGTAGTAAGTGTTTTTTTTCATTTTTTGATAGCAGAGCAGCCTAGTCACTTGAGATCCATTTGTGTTCTCTCCTATTTGAGGCGTACAAGCCTTACACTTGTGCGTCTGCTAACTCGAAATATTTAGGAATAATCTTCTCCTGCGCGAAGTGCAGTTCTTTTCAGCTAAATCAGTAAAGCTTGTGGTCATACCCATAATTGTGCCGTAAAAGAATCGATTTCTTTATGGGATGAAACTCGATCTGTTTGAGTACAAGTTTCCGGGAAAGCAAGACACGCTCATAAAACATATGTCTAAATGGCTCCAAAGGGACAGAAGCCTGGTACGTGTTGCCC